CTCTCTCTCTCTCTCTCTCTCGCATTGGTCTTTCTCTTTCTCTCTCATTCTGTCTCTCTCTCTCATTCATTCGTCATTCTCTCTCTCTCTCTCATTCATTCGTCTCTCTCATTCTCTCATTCTCTCCCTGGCCGCTGTAGTGGAGATGCTCTTGGTGACCCCCCTACCCATCCTCAACCTGACCATGGAGCAGAGTTTTCAGACCCACTGGAAATGGAAGCAGGCCAAAGCTCTGGACATCGGACATAGAGGGATGGGAGCCTCCTACTCCAGGTAAGAGAGTTTCACCTTGGGGGTTAGTTGTAGAAAACAGTTTTACGGCACAAGCAACGCGTGTGAGGAAGTCAAATAAGTGCTGAAAATAATTTAGAGGTGGTTACCAGGAAAAAAATTGTGAGGAGAGGTGAGGTGAGAACAATAGTTGGGTTGAAAGGAAAAGAGAGATGGTGATAGACGATTGACAGGAAAGATGGAGAAGAGATGGTGATAGATGATTGACAGGAAAGGAGGAGAGATAATGAAGACAGACATTTGGTAAAAAAGAAAATGGTGAGATAAGGATGGTAGATGTTTGACTGGAAAGAAGGAGGAGAGGTAATGGTGATAATCGTTTGACAGAAAAGAAGGAGGAGAGATAATGGTGATAGATGTATGGTAGAAAAAAAAAGAGGAGAGATAATGGTGATAGATGTTTGACAGAAAAAATAAAAGAGGCAAACCAACCATGACAATTGTTGAAGTATCTGGGAACTAAGAACTGTCTGTGGAATATTTTATGGAACTCGTGAAAGAAATTCCAGAGCCAAAAGCACACGACATAAGGCCCCAGGTCCTATCCAGGCACTTACTCCATTCAGTTGAGAACCCTAAGTGATTTGTGAGATGAATGTCAGTATCTTACCTTCATTATACTCAAGATTCTGTGGCAGAAATTTGCTCTTGGCTAGTCTCACCAAAAGGATCCTCAGAATTCTTCATTCATTCTTCAATTGATTTTGTTTGCTACTTTACTTTATCCTTTCTCTTGTACCCTTAGATGTCGAGGGGAGGGGCAACATTTTTCAGTTAAGGGTTAAGAGGGTGGCTTCTGTTGTTGATATGTTATTCTTCAAATGCATCTAAACAACACAGAAAGCATTCTGATCTTCTCCTCGAAAGACGCCATTTGCAATTTGCAAACCCAGACATGCCGGGTATTTTCATGCAACTAAATCCAGCCGGGTTTAGAGCGGGCGCTGATTGGACCGGCTCGGGGCCACCATGGATGGATGAAATCGGCCGTCTGGCAGACGACACGTGGTTAAGTCATGCAGCAGGGGCTCTCTTGGTCTAGAGGTACGGTGTGTGCCTCTCAGTCAAAAGCTGCCGGGACCGACCAAAAAGCTGCCAGGAAGGAAAAAACATTTTGTTCTAAAAAATTTTCTTCTTTCTTTCTCCTCCACCTTTCCTGTTTTCTAGTCCCTATTTTTGTTATCTGCTTTCATCTCCACTTTCTTCACCCTACCTTCCTCGCTTCCTCTTTCCCTGACTCTTTGTACTGCTACTTCTCGCTCCTTTCTGCTGTCTTTCAGCCACACCCCAGATCTTTGGGTTGGTAAGATCGAACATCTTGCCTTCTCGGATAAGTGAAGTCTCAGAGGCCCCTTGTGCAAGTTGCGCACATTAAATATCCCATGGTGGTCCTAAAATCTGTATGAATATACCTCGGCCGCCACCCGGAGAAAATTCCAAATTGATTCCTACCAGCTGAAAATACTCTGGTCAGTGTAAAAAAAAAAAGAGTGCCTTCGAAATTTAGATGTGGCTGCCTGAAGGCATGGGGCCCCATGAAGTAGGAAAAATGGGTCACATAGGTAAAATATCAGTTGCAGTCAAAAAGATCCAGCAAGGGAATGGGGAAAAAAAAGATTCCATCTACAAAGGAACCTTGTCATTTATTATTATTATTATTATTATTATTATTATTATTATTATTATATTATTATTATTGTCATTATTATTATCGTCATTATCATATCAGAATGTCTCTGAGGACATAGCTTCCCCGATGATCTTTCTGTATGGCTCCCTGTTTGCTTTTTTTCTTTAATCAAGTCCTTATGTCATCTCACCTCCTTCGTCTTGGTCTTCCTTCTTTTCTCTTACCCTTTTGTCCTTTCTCTCTGTCTTATTTCCCCTACCCTTCTTCTGTTTCTGTTTGTCGTCACTTTGTCTGCTTATATTATACCGTATGACAACTGTTTTTGTGTAAGTGCTTCCCTGTGGGTGGTTGGCGGGCGCTCTGGTGTGGTTTGCTTCTTCTTTCCTATGAAACATCTATCGTCCTTATCTCCCCTTCTTCTTTTTTTATGTTTGTTACTCTCTTGTAACACCTCTAATCTTCTGGTGCTCATATGACCTTATGCAGTTGCTAGCGCCATAAAACCTCTACCAAAAAAAAATGCGTTCCTGTGATCGAGCAAAGTGATCCTTGTATTGTAACACGCTTTTATGGAATGTAATCGAACTTTCTCTAACAACCACCTGTCTAAGACAATCACCTGTACGAACATCCACTCCCCACCTCTCTCCTTGTGTTGTTTTTTTTTTAAATATTATAATGACACAGTTTTAGAAAACCACCCATCTGAAATTACCTATTTTTTTTCTTCTCGACTCTGGGTGGTTACGATGGACGTATTTAACCATAATATGTTGTCATGTATCTTTGTTCCAGCTTACTTCCGACTCATACCTACCTAGCTTATGTTCTCATGGGGCAATAGTCAAGACTCCCATATTATGTATTGATACATCTACACAAATACAGCAGAATGAACCTTTGAAAATAATGCCAGTGGAAGTGCAACTCCTTGCATCACGTTGCAGATGCAAAAATGACCAACAGAGAAATTCCATCTCTACATCAGACAGTGTTACTGAGCGTCTGTAAGGTAGTAGTGGAGAAATGTTGTGAGGTGCAGGGGGAGGGGGGAGGAAGGACTATTTTAACCCCCCTCCGATTTGTAGGGGTCACCACCGGTCTTGATTGACAAGAAACGCTTCAAAATGAGACAATGGTCACTTCAGTTTGATTGTACGACCGACCTCTGTCACAACCACAGTGCTCGTCAAAATTGATTTTGTTTTAATCAGCATTTATTTTTTTGGGTCCGTTTTTTTTTCCACACAAATGTAACTGTGTGATCAAAAATATTACATGAGCTTTGTGGTAGTACAATGATAACTGAAGATAATTAAAGAGCTTTTTTTTTTTAAAACTAGGTTCTGTCCACTTTTGCAAGTTGGTGAGAAATGACAGTAAACATTTTACTAATTTATCGGAAAAGCTACTGTTCGAGTGGTCAAACTAGTAGATTTTGCAGAAATTATTCCTATTGTTCCTCACAAAATGAAGCTGAGATTCGGGATTTCGACAATTATTCTCTTCATAACCAGATATCTGAATTCCGAACTCGGTTACAACTATAACTCTGTTTTCATAAAAAATGGACAGAACTAAGTTTTGGAGAAAACTCGCTTCAATTATGAAAGCATAGCTGCCAATCCATATGTGAAATAATGTATTAAATACATTTTTGAGAGTCTGAGTAAGGTAGTCCTTTTTCGTGTTGAAAATACATATTGTTCTCTATTTTCTAGTATGGATTTGCTGGTGCGAAAGAAAAATTATGAATTTAAGAACAGGATTTGCAGATAATAATGAGAAGGAAGCCCGTAAGTCAGTTGGAGATATCTTTTATTGTAGCTCTACTTTGAACAAAGCTTAAACGTATTAAATGCTCAAACGAGAAAAGTTTTTGTGAAAGGTTTGGTGGAGGGGGCAGTACTAGGCCAATGCCCGCTCTCTAGCTAGACCCACCGAGTGGGTGGAGAGTCAGGGTTCTTTTTGGGGGTGGGGGTGTTGTGATTTTGAAAAGTTGGCAGCTATGTTCCAGTAGCAGGAGTAGTGACTTTTTGACCGTTGCTTCTCATTTTGAAGTGGGACCCAATGCTGTTTTTCCCATGCCTCACACACATCTTCTTTGTTCTCAGAGTGAGTATGCTCAAGGAAAACACAATCGCGTCCTTTGCTGCGGCAGGGAAACACGTAGGTTTTCTGGCTATTGGAATTGTGCAGAAAAGAAAAAAGAAAAAAAAACAACCGAAAAATGAAAAAAAGAAAAAAATTTAAAAAATCTGTGTGCAGTTTTTGTATTTTTAGATAGTTCCGACTGGAAAAAAAGAAAAGAATTACAGTGGTCCCTCGGAGTTAAAAAGCGTGGGTTTTTTGGGGTTTTTTTTTTAGTTTTTGTTTTTGTTGATTTTGTTGTTTTTTCTTGAGGTGGGGGAACTGTTTATTGGTTTTTGTGGCTTTTTTTGCCCGTTTAAGAGTTCATTAGTCAGCAATTGCACACCCTATACTCTTTCATGACAACGGAAAATGTGAAAGGAAGATTTGACAAACGGCTCAGCCAAGTGAGTTTGGTTGGGTTCAGGAGTTGTCACTTAAGGATGAGGCGGGTGGTCGGAAGGCACCATTGGTAGGTCTGACTACTTTTCTTCTTTCGTTCTTTTCTCTCTGTTTCCACCAGTCTTTTTCTGTCTCTTCCTCATAATGACTGTTCTCTTGAGATGATATGTGTCATGACGCGGTGGAATTAGGCGCTCGTCAATTTGTGGACATGAAGAGTTATTGTTATCATTGTAAAGTTTGTTCATTTGTGTCTCTGCCTAGGAAAGAAATATCCATTTATCTTTGAATACAAGTTGAGATATTTGCGATTGAAGGAGGTGGGGGTCGCCTGGTTTTAGAGGTAAAATTAGCGAGAAAATGGCCACCAAAGTTTGGTTACTTCCATAGCTTGAGAGTTCGGGGAAACTGAGAACTTACATTTTTTGGGGTTTTTTTTAATCAACGTTTTTCAGTAACATCCCTGGAGAAACATGCTCTTAGATGGACGTGAAAGGTGTTGAGCCAAAAAAAATAAAAAATTCTATAAAATTACCAAACTGACGGAAAAATGCCAGTTTCTTTAATTTCGATCTTTTGATGAGCGCCTGATTTCACCATGATGCCTCACATATGCTTCTCTTTACTTTCCTTTATTCAAACGAACAAACTGCAGTTAAGACTCAGAGAGGGGCCACTGTTTTCAAATCCTTAAAGTTTAAGAAATGCAACCTTGACAAGTTAATTTAGAGCGAGGGATGTACTGTGCACAAAACATGTTAAAAGATTAGCGTGAGTGTGTGTGTGTGTGTGTTTGTGTGCAAAGCCTTACAGGCTATTTTTGTTTCAGTCTCTTTATTCTTTTTTTTCCCAAAGTCTTTTTCAGTGAAGGGAAAGAAATATGTAGGCTTTTTTTTTTGTTGCTATTGCTTATTCTTAAGTTTATTTTTGCTTTTTAAAATGTTGCGTTGACCCGTATGTCTTTAATTTTATGCCCGTGTAACTTGTCCAAAATGTCTGTGAAATGTGTTTTTAAAATGTTGCGTTTACCCGTATGTCTATGACTTTCTGTTTGTTTGTGAAGTCTGTTCAATAATATGTCTGTCATACCGTTTAGATTTTACTTCTTTATTTCAACTTTATATTGATGACGGAATAGCTTTATTTATTGATATATTTATATATATATGTATATGTTGTGGTATTATGTTTCAGTGGCATAGAGAATAGATTTTTTAGGATGTTTCTTTAGAGCTGGTGTAATCTTTTCCCTCTCTTTTTTCGCCAGGGAGCTGATTTTGTTGAGTTTGACGTTCTGCTCAGCAAGGATAAGAAGGCGGTCATCTACCACGACTTTGTGGTCAACGTAGCTTATACCAACGTAAGCATGGGTGGTTGGCGGGTGCTCTGGCGTGGTTTGTTTCTTCTTTCCTATCAAACATCTATCGTCCTTATCTCCCCCTTCTTCTTTTTTATGTTTGTTACTCTCTTGTAACGCCTCTAATCTTCTGGCGCTCATATGACGTTTTGCAGTTGCGAGCGCCGAAAAACCTCACTAAAACTAAAAAAACAACGTAAGTTTTCTTGTGGCCGGGTTCTTCTTTCATTTTTGCTTTTTGTTGTTTTGTTTTCTTTGTGGGCGGTTGTTGGGTGCTCTGGTGTGGTTTGCTCCTTCTTTACTATCAAAGATCTATTTTCCTTATCTCTATTCCTTCTTTTTTATGTTTGTTACTCTCTTGTGACGCCTCTAATCTTTGGCACTTGTATGACCAATAAGGTCATATAAGTGCCGAAGAAACATCGATTCATTGAAGATGAATATTTAATAACATAATATGCAGATAATATTTAACAACATTTGTATAGTGCATGATATTCATTATCTACAGCATGCCCTCTGGTCTTTGCAATTGTTATGTTATTACCCCAGCAGATCCTAGAATTATCAGAAACATTCTTGGCTTCCCAACTTTTTACAAGAGCTAAAACACTCATAAATGTGGGTGGTTGACGGGTGCTGCGGTGTGGTTTGCTCCTTCTTTCCTATTAAACAACTATTGTCTTATCTCTCCTTCTTCTTTTTTACGTTTGTTACTCTCTTGTAACTCCTCTAATCTTCGGCATTTATATGACCTTATTGTGTTGCAAGTGCTGTAAAACTCTTACTAAAACTAAAAACTTATAAATTGACAAGATCTTTTAGTCTATAGCTTGGTACTTGTTCACATCTTGGTGAAAAATGGGAACATTCATGTAAAGTGCCCTTTTTCAAGAACACAATGTTGGGCTCCCAACTAGGTTTGAACCCACAACCTTTTGGCTGTCTGCCCAACTGGTTCAAGTTCTAAGACATGTTGTGAAAATTTTTGCTTTGAGATGAGACAGTCCTTAAATGCTGCACACCTGTCCATGATTGTTACTGTTGTTGTTGGATACATTCATAGTCAACCTTCTTTTGATCTTCTAACTTCGAAACTGTCTGGGTCTCACACCCCATTCATTCAGTGGGTGGTTGGCGGGTGCTCTGGTGCGATTTGCTTCTTCTTTCCTATCAAACATCTATCATCTTTATCTCCCCTTCTTCTTTTTTTATGTTTGTTACTCTCTTGTAACACCTCTAATCTTCTGGCGCTCATATGACCTTATGCAGTTGCGAGCACCGTAATACCTCTACTAACCCCCGGGGCAGTGCCACTGACTGAAGTGACTTTAGGCCATTCCCAAAGGGGGGACATTTTTCGTTCAAGCATAGTAGAATTGTAAATGGGCTGACTCATGTCACACTCATAACTGCCTGATCTACAACAGGGAACTGCTGCTTTTTCTTTCCTGATCCTTACTATTGTCATTTTCCTCTACTTCTTTCTATTGTATGTTTGTCACTCTCTTGTGACCTGCTATTTTGGGGTTCCTTGATAGTCGAAGCAGACCTTGTGCTGTTGAAGCTAGAGAGGTGAGCAGTCTAAGTCTGATTCCCTGTAAAGACTTTTCTGTTGACACCCACCCCTTGGCGCTCATATGACCGTATGCAGTTGCGAGCGCCGTAAAACCCTCTACTTAAAAAAAAAAAAAGAACCTCTACTAAAACTAAAATCCCCTCATTCAACACACTAAGATAGCTTAAGATGCAGAACCTCTGAATTTTATGTCCATCTTCAGCTGAATCGAACCGGATGGCCTTGAAAACAGTCTAAAACATTCAAATTCAGGAAGCCCAATTAGGCGCATTCAAGCCATGGCCATCAGCTCCCTAGCCCGGCGTGATATCAACTGAGCTAATGGTGGGCTCAGCTTCTGATTTTACGCGGGCAAATGATTGAAGAACGGTAGACGAAGTTCTTGACTTACATCGTTCGGACTGTCGTAGATATTTTTTCTTGCTTTGAACTTTGGGACTTTTCATTTCATGTGGAATTTTTTTTTAAACTTTGTCCATTTGCAAAAGTTAATGCTTTTAAAAAATCTTTTTTGCAGAAAAAGAGCCAAAAAGCCAAGACTGAACTGTTTGAAATTCCTGTCAAGAACCTTACACTTGCCCAGCTCCAGTCTATGAAGGTAGCTTTTTGTTTTTCCTACAAAGACCAATGAGTAACAATGTCATTTGTTACATTTGATTGGAAATCTTTATAGTCCATATTCAGATTTTGTGGTGTAGGGATGATGGAAGTAATAATGATAATGATTTTTATTATTTTAATGGAAAGGCTTTTTGCCATCTTACGCAGAAGTCTTGTGTTCGATTTCCGTCGAGGAAAGTTTTATTTTTTGAGTGTCTCCATCTGTTTGTTGGGAGGTTGTATACCTCTCTCAGCCTGAATTAACTTTAGAGAGAGAAGCATGACAGTGCTCTTAAGCCAAACTTGGGATGGGATAGAGCTGACAAGTGTATAATAGTTGCCAATGAGTACATACAAAATGTATCTATCACATTTGAAAAGGGTGGGTGGTTGGCGGGTGCTCTGGTGTGGTTTGCTCCTTCTTTCCTATTAAAAATCTATCGTCTCCTTCATTTTTATATTTGTTCCTCTCTTGTAACACTTCTAATCTTCGGCACTTATATGACCTTATTGTGTTGCAAATGCCGTAAAACTCTAACTAAAACTTAAAAAAAAAATTTTTCAGGGTTTTTGTATGGAAGTCTGTTTTTGTGTTTGTAATACATATGTGAAGAGACAGCGTTGTGAAATCAGGCACTCGTCAAAATAACGAAATCTGAGAAATCTGCATTTTTCAGTCTGTTTGGAAATTAAATTTCAAATTTTTTTTTTTTGGCTCAACACCTTGTATATCCATTCAAAAACCCTTTTATGTGTGGATTTTATGGAAAAACGTTGATTAAAAGCACAAAAAATGTGAATTGGCAGTTTCCAAGGACTCGTAAGCCATATAAGTCACCAAACTTTGGCGGCCATTTTTTTGCTTATTTTACTGCTGAAACCTGATGACTCCATCTCCTTCAAATCGCAAATATCTCCACTCTTATTCTAGATAAATGCGTATTTTTTTCTTCGAAAGCAAGGCAAATAAAGAACCTTTAAGGTGACACCAATGACTTCACGTTCCCAAAAATTGACGATCGCCTGATTCCACTGCATCGTGACACATATTCTGTTTTCTGGTATTGTTCCTTGTGGACTTGCCAATCCGAAAAGATGGGATGTTGTATCCTTCTCAGCTCGGGTTGGCCCCTTCCAACAGGGTCAAAAGCTCGCCTCATGAATGATCTAAATTGTGTGGATGGAGGCTTAAAAACATCTACTTTAAAAAAATTATTATTATTGTTTGTTTGTTTTTTTTTTCAGCTGTTTGTAGCTGGAGACAACAGTGTTGGTAAGTTGTTGCTATTTTATTATTTAATCTTCTTCCACTTTTTTGCTGATTAAGTTGAGCGCTGTAAAACCTTTCTAAAACTAAAAACTTGTCTGTCTTCCTTTTTTTTTCTTTGTATGTTATCTCTAGTAACAAGTTTAGTCTTCCTCCTGCCCATTGCCCAGAGCTAAAAAATCTTTGCCCCCCAGGTACCAGAATTCTGTTGAATGTGACAATCAAATTCATCAAAAACCGAAGGAATTAGAATCGGATCTAAAACCATTAGATCAAACACATTTATCACTGGAATCATCGACATGGGGTAATAGTATAGATTGTGAAGCGCATAGAGCTTGCTGTTGAGCGGGGATTTGCGCTATACAAATGAAATGCTATCTATTATTTATTATTATCACACTGATTACAAACCTTCGGGGGCTCTCGTGGCCTAGAGGTTAAGGTGTTAACCTCTCATTCAAAGGTCCCGGGTTCGACTCCGGGTAGTGACAAAAAAATTTTCTTCTCTAAATGTGTCTCCTTTCACCTCCTTTCCTGCTCTCTAGCAATGTTCTGTTGTCTGCTTTCGTCTCCTCTTTCTGCCCCCCACTCCCTCATCTCCTTTGCCCCCCTCCTCTGGGCTCCTGATTCTTTCTACAGCCTTTCTAGTTCTACTCCTTAGCTTCTTTTTACTGCTGTCTTTCAGCCACACCCCTGATTTTCTGGTAGGAAAGATCTATACCTAGCCCTCTCGGACAAGGGCGAGAAATCTCGGAGGGCCCGTGTGCAAGTTGCGCACGTTAAAGATCCTTTGGTGATCTAAAATCGATAAGAGTAGGCTTCGGCTGCCACCCGGGCAAAATTCAAAATTTCCTACTGAAAAAGTCTAATGTGTCCCGCGCGCTCATATGACCTTATGCAGTTGCAAGCGCCGTAAAGCACTTACAAAAACAAACAAAACAAACCTCCGTGGGTGGTTGGTGGGTGCTCTGGTGTGGTTTGCTTCTTCTTTCCTATGAAACATCTATCGTCCTTATCTCCCCTTCTTCTTTTTTATGTTTGTTACTCTCTTGTTACACCTCTAAATCTTCTGACGCTCATATGACCTTATGCAGCTGCGAGCGCCGTTAATCCTCTACTAAAACTAAACAAAGCCTTCTCCTCTGCGTGCTGTCGATACAGGAATCAACGACGAGGAGTGTCCGCTGGAGGAGCCGGAGGGGGGGGGGACATTTCTCATTCAAGCATAGTAGAATTGCCAATGGGCTGACTCATGTCACGCTCATAACTGTGCCTGACCTACAACAGGGAACTGCTGCTTTTTCTTTCCTGATCCTTACTATTGTCATTTTCCTCTTCTTCTTTTATATGTTTGTCACTCTCTTGTGACCTGCTATTTCTGGGGTGCCTTGATAGTCGAAGCAGACCTTGTGCTGTTGAAGCTAGAGAGGTGAGCAGTCTAAGTCTGTTTCCCTGTAAAGACTTCTGTGTTGACACCTGCCCCTTGGCGTTCATATGACCTTATGCCGTTGCGAGCTCAATAATACCTCTACTAAAACTAAACTTTGCGTGCTATCGATCCAGAAATCAACGACGAGGAGTGTCCATTGGAGGAGACCGAGCCATTCCCGACGCTGGAACAATGTCTCCTGGAGGTGGACGCCAACACGGGCTTCAACATCGAGATCAAGTACCCGCTAGTGGACATTGTGAGTGACCATGGAGTTCTGCAGCGTGGGTGGTTGGGGGGGGGGGGGGTCTCTGATGTGGGTGGTTTGCTCCTTCTTTCCTGTCTAACATCTATCGTCCTCGCCTCTCTTTTTCTTCTTCTTTTCTTCTGTATGTTATGCTGCTCGATTTGTTGTTGTTGTTAGCGATCCAGTAGCATTTGAGCGTTAACTCTTCTGCTTGATGCCATTCTGTAATAGCTGCTTGTCTGTTCTAATTTTTGTTTTGAGGAGTAGAGGCAGTTATATGTGTGGGGTAGCTTGGGAAGAAAACATCCCCTCAAATCGGTTAATTTTCTACAGAAGAACAGATGATGTTCCACTGTCTCCAAGGGGTAGTCACATTGTGGGCTGGCAGCAGACTGCTTTACTCCATTTCGGTTGAGATGTTGATTGAGGGGAACATGTTGGGTTCTAAGTTGAAAGATTATGGATGCTGCTCAAGTAACTCCCTAATATCTGGCACTTGTACAATGACTTATTTGTGTTGCAAGTGCTGTAAAATTCTTACTAAAACTAAGAGCTTCAGCAGTCATTTCCCTTTGTTTTCAGATTTGTTTCAACTGCCAACTGTTGACGGCTATACTTTCTGTAAAGCATCTTTCCTTTTTTTTTTCTTTACGGAAGATATTATTTTATTTCTGACAAGGATTTGGTTGTGGGTGGTTTGCTTCTTCTTTCCTATCAAACATCTATCGTCCTCATCTCCCCCTTCTTCTTTTTTATGTTTGTTACTCTCTTGTAACACCTCTAATCTCCTGGCGCTCATATGACCTTATGCAGTTGCGAGCGCCGTAAAACCTCTACTAAAACTAAACTAAAAAACATGGAGTATATTATTTATTTCTAACAAGTCTTCGGTTGAGCTTCGCAAATGCCACTTTGATATTACCATACATCACCTCAATGTTGCAACTGTAACAAAAATAATGTTTCTTTTCATACTTTAAAAAAAATGAGATATGCTGTCTGCCTGTTATAGTTACAACAAGCTTAGTATTTCCTTTTCTTTATTTTACATGCAGTTTCTAGGTACTGAAGTGACAGCATAAAAGCCCTCGACAGAGGGGATCATACAATGATATTCTGCCTTTAAACACAGCACATACCTCTAAATTATTACCTAAAAAACCCAGAAAAAAACAGTGGGTGGTTGGCGTATGCTGTGGTGTGGTTTGCTCCTTCTTTCCTATCAAATATCTATCGTCCTTATCTCCCCTTCTTTTTTATGTTTCTTACTCTCTTATAAAACACCTCAAATTTTCTGGCGGTCATATGACCTTATGCAGTTGCGAGTGCCGTAAAACCTCTACTAAAACTTTAAAAAGTCTTTGGTTGAGCTTGACAAACACCATTTTGATATTACCATACGTCACCTCAATATTGCAACTGTAAAAAAAATATGTTTCCTTTGATTGTTTCTTTTTCTTTATTTTACTTGCAGTGTCTAAGTACTGAAGTGACTGCATAAAAGCCGTCAACAGAAGGGATCAAACAATGATATTCTGCCTTCAAACACAGCACATACCTCTAAACTATTACATAAACAGAATCAAACCAGAACCCCCCCC